TTTTTAAAGGAAAGATTCTTATTCCACTTCCCCATGGGTATAAAAGGAAATGTAATAAGACCAAGAACTATTAAGATAAAATCAAAGAAAACTCTGATGAGTGTGTATAAATAAACATGTACATGTATGTGTAGTGTGACCTAAGTGTAAGTAGAAGTAGCAAGACGTACCTGTAATCTTGCATATTTATGAGACAGACAAAAGACACCAGCAATCCTACCATCATGTAAAACAATTACAGGCTTTTGTTTTACACTCACTTGGCAGGACGGTTGTACCCCCCTGGGTGGTTGCTGTTTATCAACCTACTACATATATATATATATATATATATATATATAATATTTTTTTTTCCAACAAGTTGGTCGTCTCCCACCGAGGCAGGGTGACCCAAAAAAGAAAGAAAATCCCCAAAAAGAAAATACTTTCATCATTCAACACTTTCACCACACTCACACATTATCACTGCCTTTGCAGAGGTGCTCAGAATACAACAGTTTAGAAGCATACACATATAAAGATACACAACATATCCCTCCAAACTGCCAATATCCCAAACCCCTCCTTTAAAGTGCAGGCATTGTACTTCCCATTTCCAGGACTCAAGTCCGACTATAAGAAAATAACCGGTTTCCCTGAATCCCTTCACTAAATATTACCCTGCTCACACTACAACAGATCGTCAGGTCCCAAGTACCATTCGTCTCCATTCACTCCTACCTAACACGCTCACGCATGCTTGCTGGAAGTCCAAGCCCCTTGCCCACAAAACCTCGTTTACCCCCTCTCTCCAACCCTTTCGAGGACGACCCCTACCCCGCCTTCCTTTCCCTATAGATTTATATGCTTTCTATGTCATTCTACTTGATCCATTCTCTCTAAATGACCAAACCACCTCAACAAACCCCTCTTCTGCCCTCTGACTAACTTTTATTAACTCCACACCTTTTCCTAATTTCCACACTCGAATTTTCTGCATAATATTTACACCACACATTGCCCTTAAACAGGACATCTCCACTGCCTCCAACCGTCTCCTCGCTGCTGCATTTACCACCCAAGCTTCACACCCATATAAGAGGGTTGGTACTGCTATACTTTCATACATTCCCTTCTTTGCCTCCATAGATAACGTTTTTTGACTCCACATATACCTCAATGCACCACTCACCTTTTTTCCCTCACCAATTCTATGATTAACCTCATCCTTCATGAATCCATCCGCCGACACGTCAACTCCCAAGTATCTGAAAACATTCACTTCTTCCATACTCCTCCTCCCCAATTTGATATCCAATTTTTCTTTATCTAAATCATTTGATACCCTCATCACCTTACTCTTTTCTATGTTCACTTTCAACTTTCTACCTTTACACACATTCCCAAACTCATCCACTAACCTTTGCAATTTTTCTTTAGAATCTCCCATAAGCACAGTATCATCAGCAAAAAGTAACTGTGTCAATTCCCATTTTGAATTTGATTCCCCAAAATTTGATCCCACCCCTCTCCCGAACACCCTAGCATTTATTTCCTTTACAACCCCATCTATAAATATATTAAACAACCATGGTGACATTACACATCCCTGTCTAAGACCTTCTTTTACCGGGAAGTAGTCTCCCTCTCTTCGACACACCCTAACCTGAGCCTCACTATCCTCATAAAAACTCTTTACAGCATTTAATAACTTACCACCTATTCCATATACTTGCATATTTTGCAGTTACAAGCACTAAAAACACTGGAATAATACAAAATGTACCAAATGTATGAGTGGATGTGACCGGACTGGCTTGTAAACACTGGTACACTAACTGAAGGCAGGGCAGCTAAGGCGCGCTCAGGCCAGACGGGACGCGTTTGGGACGAATCATGTTGGTCGAGTTTTTCATCATTGGTCAGGCCAAAATTTTTATGCTCAAACGCTTCATTAGTCTAATTTATCGTTAGACGATGCCTTATTGACTACCCGGGCAATAGGTTGTTGCTGCAAGCAACCCAAAGGCTGATATGGCTATGACAGCCTGGCTGTTCTTCAACATGTTCTAGGTTGAGAATGTTATTATTCTACTATCCAAATTGTAGTGCATACCTAAAAAATATCCTCTACATTCGTTCACTCCATACTTTCACCTCTCTTTTAGTTTGTCCATCCCTCAGTCCTTCCCCTTGTCGCCCAGCTGCACACCAATGGCAAAGAGAGCTAAGTGCCTTATCACTAACACCCCCTACCATCGGTCTGGAGTAGTATGACTCTCTGATCGCGGGTTCTATCCCCACCCAGCTCCGTGGTATTTGTTTTACCACCTTACCTTGAGTCGAGAACGCAGTCTGATTTTACCCCGAATAAGTAAAGAAATTCTTTTCTCTGTCCATCACTCCTTGCATTTCTTGCTTTTGACAGGGGTGACCCATGCAGACGACTTAGCCTACCTCTTCAACTTGAGAGGGTTTCAGCTCACTCGCGCTCCTGACCTTGCCCTCAGAGATCTCTTCACTAAACTTTGGACCAACTTCGCCGATACTGGGTACAGTGTTTCTCTCTCTCTCTCTCTCTCTCTCTCTCTCTCTCTCTCTCTCTCTCTCTCTCTCTCTCTCTCTCTACCCACAGTTTACAAGGTTAGGTTAAGATTTCTAACTTTATTTACAAGCTAAGAGCTGTTACCCACATCAGCTCTCTCTCTCTTTTGATAATTTTTTTTTTACATTTATAAAATTTATTTACATTGTTATTGTAATAAAGTTGGTAGAATTACCGACAATATGTAAAGTAAAAGGACACAAGTGCAACTAATGTGACATTTATTGTGGCAACGTTTCGCTCTCCAGGAGCTTTATCAAGCCATTACAAACAATACATGGACACAGAGGGTATATAAAGGCTCAGAGTGAGGTGAATACTAGTGAGGTACCATTCCGATGTTCACTAGTGGTAGTAGTGGTAGTGACAAAAGCAATTAATTCGTACATGAGTAAAAGGATATAAAAGCTATTACTTGGGTAACATAAAAATAGGTTGGACAAATATAAACTGGAATGAGGCAGGTTGTTTCAGTGTTCACTCTCTGTGCTTTGTGTAGTATAACAGGAGAGACTATGTGATGGCAGGGTTTACTGTTTTCAGGAGGATTCTTGCTAAGACTTCGGAGATGGTGAAGCTGCCGTTGTTTTGTTTAATTGTATTCGAAACAGCGATCAGTGCTGATTCAAGGCATTTGCGTGTGCGGAAATTAGTTTCTTTTATCACTAATTGGGCGTCTCTGAATTTCATAAGATGATTGGTGGAATTTCGGTGTTGTACACAGGCGTTGTACACAACGCCTGTGTACAACACCGAAATTCCACCAATCATCTTATGAAATTCAGAGACGCCCAATTAGTGATAAAAGAAACTAATTTCCGCACACGCAAATGCCTTGAATCAGCACTGATCGCTGTTTCGAATACAATTAAACAAAAACAACGGCAGCTTCACCATCTCCGAAGTCTTAGCAAGAATCCTCCTGAAAACAGTAAACCCTGCCATCACATAGTCTCTCCTGTTATACTACACAAAGCACAGAGAGTGAACACTGAAACAACCTGCCTCATTCCAGTTTATATTTGTCCAACCTATTTTTATGTTACCCAAGTAATAGCTTTTATATCCTTTTACTCATGTACGAATTAATTGCTTTTGTCACTACCACTACTACCACTAGTGAACATCGGAATGGTACCTCACTAGTATTCACCTCACTCTGAGCCTTTATATACCCTCTGTGTCCATGTATTGTTTGAAATGGCTTGATAAAGCTCCTGGAGAGCGAAAGTTGCCACAATAAATGTCACATTAGTTGCACTTGTGTCTTTTACTTTATACATTGTTATTGCTATAAAGCACTGTATACTCCTACTGCTATTACTACTAATATTACTATTTAAACTTGAATGAATATTTCGTTCTGGGTTCAGGAACCCAACGCCAGACTCATCTTTGGGTTTCATCTGGGAACCTACCACAGAAGCTCACCTGCAGCATCTGGTCCTGTCTCCTTCACCTTTCATGCAGAACGACACCAGACGTCAGGTGAGTGTTGCAAGGCCTTAAGTCGGCCTTTCGTGTTTCAGTACTCACTGTGTACATTTTCCTGCTTAAAGGGGACCCATGCGCAGTACCAGTCCAGATCAACCAGGCTGTGATGGATGTGTGGGGCAGAGGGCCACCAGCAGCAACAGAGCCTGGTTGCCTAGGCAAGCACCAGACGAGCCTGGCCCATGGCCGGGCTCTGGGAGTAGAAAAACTGGGAACTCATCAAACGTATAGTGAAGATATGATGCAATTGGCTTGTATAGTTTTTACGTACGGTTTGCAGGAAATTTCTTGATTAACGGTGATTAGGTTAGGTTAGATTGTTCTGTCAGTAAAGTTTAACCAGCTTTACCATACCACAACGCAACAAAAATTAAAAAAAATACAATACTGTAAGATAATGACGATAAAAGACTAATGCACGAACAGAAAACGGGGATCTCCTGAGCGCATTAGAAAATAATAATAATAATATCTTTATTTCTAAAGTACATCTAAGTTAGATGAACGCTGTTTAATAGTAAATCTAATAAAACTACTAGTAATCTTATTTCTACAAGTACATGTACAAGGTATACACACCATAGCTGACATCAATGACTAAGTAAGTTTATTCAGGTATACACAAATACAGTTACATAGAATTATCATACATAGCAGCATGTGTGTAAAGTACCTCGGATAACCCAAAAAAGTCAGACAGAGTGACTTACTTCCATTGGGGTCCTTTAACATACTATTAATATAGAAAGCATTTCGGGCAAATTAGGTCAATTTTGTCCTAGGATGTGACCTACTCCAGTCAACTAACACCCAGGTACCTATTTTTTACTGATGGGTGAACATGGACAGCAAGTGTCTTAAGGAAACTCGTCCTAATGTTTCCAGACGGACGGGGAATCGACCCCCGGACCTCATTGTGAGCTGAGTGCGCTACCAGTCGAGCATAAGGTTCGTTAAAAAGTCTGTCCTTTGACTATTTCAGCAACAGCGGCAGCGGCAGCAGCGACTTCCAAGCTCCGTACTTTTCTCCAACTACCAGAGCTACCAATGCTCCTATGATGACCTAGCTACAAACAAAACTGCACTACCCAACGTAGCACCCAGAATAACCAAAGATTACCAACAGTGAAACCTACAAATCGAAAATAATAGAGATCAAAGGAAGACCGCACACAAACCGAAAGCAACACCCCGCTGCCAGCCGAACAACGTAACCCTAAGCTTTGTATACTACAACTTCTTCTTAACTACAACAATTCCTGTAGTATTATGAGGCGCAATCTAAGAGGAAACAGCACCAAGGCCAGCAAGAAAACACCGAAAAATCAACTATTCAACAAGTGTAGCCAGGAGGACGCCGGCTCAGCAACCACCCCACTCACCACCACTCAAGGCCGCACCACAACAATAACAACAAACATGGCTGCCACCAGCCCATCCTCCCCTCTCTTCCCCGGATTCAACCTACCAAGTAGTCTCTCAGGTATGACCAACGATCCAGATACCCTAAAGACATGCATCTCCAACTTAGCTATTGGGAAAATATGAATCTTCAAAGGGGACGCTAACAAAAAAAGACACCAGGTTTGCCCCCAAAGGGAAAAATAAGTCACTCTGTCTGATTTTTTTGGGGTTTTATCCTGGGTTTCTCAAACACTTTAAGCTGCTATGTATGAAAAATTCTTTTAAAATGTATGTTGTTACCTGAATAAAACTTATTTTTATTTAAATGACAAAAATCGGAAAAAAACCACAGTCTTGAAAAAAATTTTTATCAACACCAGGAATGCCCAAAACGTGGCAAGACCCCCATTCAGTCATTAGTTTACCCCATACCCAAAAATAATACCCCTCTTAATAAAAAGGGTTTAAGAACGAAAAAAAATGGAAAGAACAACTTAGAAAAACCCCAGTTCGTGATACTTTGCTCTCCAAGAAGAAAAAAATGAACAAGATAAACTATCGGACGCAGTAAAAAGTTAACAGTCCACTTTTTCCCTGAAAAGGAAACCAAACAAAAAAAAAAAGGGAAATTACTCTGAAGGACCCTTAAAAGGACAAAAAAGTGTTATTGTACCAGATTTCTGAAATAAAAGAAGCCGGGGTTACTGGTTTCCCAGGGTTTAAAAAAGTGTTTATTTAGTTTCCACTCACATGACAGGAAAAAGACTTAATTTTGAAATTAATTAAAGTAAAGAAAGGAGGTATACAAAAACGAGTGTTTTTCCCAAAAAAAACGTCAGAACCCCCTGTATAGAGTCAGAAAACTTAAGCGGGAGAATAACGACACAATACACCAATGCTTCACAGGGAGGGGAAAAATTTCTAGTTGGGGAAAACAAATTAGGTCAACTGTACAAAAATCACGGAACGAGAATGATCTATCACGATTTCTAGGGATACAATCTTACAGGAAAAAAACAAAAACAAGCCCAAACTTAAAAAGCCAACGTGTGTAGTGCTGTTTTGCTCCATTATTTTTTAAAAATTTAAATTGTGCAATTCTTAGTTTTTTAAAATAACCAACCTCATTTTGGGGTTTTTTACTATTTAAGCATAAGTCCCCTTTATGGATTTTGTTATTTACTATTTTTCGTTTAAACATAGCTAAAATTGATATTTCCTGCCCATATTACTACCATCATTTTTTTTTTTAAATACTTTTTCAATTGATATTGTTTTACTAAAATTAAAAATTTTCATTTTTTACTAAAATTTAAATTTCCCTCTTAAAATTTTTGATTTGCCATAAAACCCAAAGTTTTAACAAACCAGTGCAAATTGAATGAAAAAACATTACTTTTTCCCCTTTTTTGTAATCATTTTTTTTCTAAAATTTTATTAAAACCAGTTTTTTTGGGTACTTTAATTTTTAAATTTTTATTTTGTTTTTTAAAATTTTAAGTTATAATTTGATCTTGCAAAAAACCTTTTTCCCAAAGATTTCTAGTGCAATTGCAAGTCCCCATTTCTTTTTTGTATTTTTATATAATAATTTTAATATTTAAATTTCCCTCCCAAACTGTCCATTTAATTTGTTTTACCATTACTTTTTTTTAGCCCCTTATAATTTTCCCCTTTATTTTAGCTTTATATAACTACCATATTTTATATATTCAAAATTTTTTTAAAAAAAATCAAGGTCTTTTTCCGGTGAAAAATTTTGAATAATTTCCAAAATTTTGCCATTATTTTCCAAAAGCCATTTATTGTTTAAACCATTTTTGTTCCCAAAAACCTATTTTAAAGTCCCTTTTATTTAAAATTTTATACTTTTATTCTAACTTTAAAAAATTCCTTTTATAGTATCCCTACTCATTTTCCCCAAGCTCCATTATTTGTTTCATCCTTTATTTGTATTAGCCCTTTTATTTGTCTCCTTTATTTTAGTTTAAAAAAAAAAAAAAAAAAACCTACCTTTGCTAAATTATTTTACATTTGTTAAATAATTCGGTTTGCTATTTTTTAGCTTAAGACTTTTACTTTGTTTTTATTTAAATTCAAAACTTAGATTCACAAAAAATTTTATGATTAAAATTTTTTGTTTTCCTGTTTCCCAAAACCTCTTTTTAATAAACTTAAAGAATCAAACATTTTCTGAAAATTATTTACCATGCAAAACAACCCAAAGGCCCCTCAGTGCCAACAAAACAAAAATATCTTTAATTTAAAATAAAATTTTTTTAAAGGGCAACATTACGATGCCCTCAAGCATTACAAAATTTTCCTTACATGCCAATAGTCCTCTTTTAAACAACTAAAACCTGGCTAAAGCCGTTTAGTACAGATTTTTATCCCTTTCCTGGTTACCCCAGCCATACCCCAAAACGTGGGGCCAGATCAACAAGGGGGGGGCCCCCAGCCATTACTATCAGCCCCACTAAATGTATCACTAATACTTGCACAAGGGTTTGAACATGGGGAATATATAAAGCTAAATTCAAACCCAAAATTTCCCTAAAAAAAACCTCTCACTTTGAAAAAACTTCTACAAAAATTTCCCAAGTAAAAACTTTACCCTATTTGTCAAAACCTAGGAAGTAATGAAAAACTGATGCACGCTTTGAACAAAGATCATTTACTACCTCGGGGTGACTTCAATATAAATCTCCTGCAAGCCAGGACCCACAGGGTTACTGAATTCACAAAAAATGGAAAAACGGTATTTTACCCACCAAAAAACAAAACCCACAAGAGTTACAGAGACTAGTGTTTCCCTACTTTACCCAAACTGGACCAACACCATATCCCCTTTTTTAAAATCAGGCCCTAATTTTCAGTAATACCACAGGGCCCCCTACCCAACCCTTTTTCCCCTAACAACTCTTGGGAAATACCCCAAAACACTACTAAAGTCCCCTTCCCCCCTTTTACAATGAGGCAGCCATTAATAACTTCACAAAAAGAGTAGCAAACATTTATTGGCACCCCTGAAACTAGAAATTTTATAAGTATTGACGAAAAGAATTTAAAAATTTTTTTAAAAAAGCCCCTTTCCTCTATAAAAAAGCACTGCCCCAAAAAACTAACAGATGACAGCTAAGGGATGAAAAAGTCCCTGGCTAAAACCCCCGATTTCCCCAAATACCCTAAATACAAAAAATCCAATAAAAAAACGTTTCAGAAAAGGGGCCATAAACCCGAGACCAAACAAAAATTTTTCCTTTAACCTTACCAGCCCATTAAAAAAGGGGAAAAAAATTGTATTAAAGAGAACAGTTATCCCCAAATTACGGGGGGTATATAAAAAAGACCTTTAAAAAACCCCATCAGAAATTCTGGGAACCCAAAAAAAAAAATACGGGAAAAAACGAAATAAAATTAGCAAAATTTAATGAACCCCAACTTCCCCCCAACGAAAAAAGCAAAAAGACTCAAAGATTTCTTCTCCCCAAAAAAAAACCCTTTCCAATTAAAAACCCAAGCTCGATTCCCCCCCAAATGACTACCTCACCGGAAAAAACCCCAAAAAACCCCTGTTCCCAGCTGACTAAACCCCTTTCGAAACCCCTTTTTTATCAACCAAATAAAAAAAAAAGGAGGAGATTTTTTTACCTTTTCCACCCCCTTTATACAAAAAATGTCAAAAAGTGCTATCACCAATCATTGGGAACACTCTTAACAAATCCATAGAATCCTCCAAACCCTTCCCCCACAGTTTTCAAAATAGCAAGGTCAACCCCCATCCACAAAGGAGGGGACCAAACCCGAGTTTTTAAAAACTATAGGCCAATATCCAACTTACACCCTTCTCAAAAATCTTTGAAAAAAATTTAAATTTATAAAAAAAACCAATCCCACCTTTTTCCCAAAAAAATCTAACCCCCGCCCAAATTTTGGGTTTAGGCCTAATAAAAATACTAATGGGCTATTATAAAACATTTCTAGAAAAATATATAATGCAGTAGGAAAAAAGAAGTCCCCCCTGGGGATCTTCATTGCCTTTCGTAAAGTTTTTGATACAAATTTACCCCTGACTTGCCCCACGTAAAATTGTCCACTATGGTATAAAAGGGGACTCCCTCAAACCCCCACCCAAGTCATACCCCAGAAAAAAGAAGCCCAAAATTTTAAGTGGTACGCAAATTGGGGCCCAAAATCTTCTGCGCAACCCCCTTTACAGTTGGGTGTTCCCCGGGAAGTGTCCCTTTGGGCCCCCTTCCTCTTTTTCCTAAACAGAAATGACTTTCCAAAAACTTCGCAATTTTCCAAACCCCCACTATTTTTTTTTTTTTTTTTTTTTTTTTTTTTTTTCAGATGGCACCTTTCATTCGTCTTTTCCCACCCGAGCCCAGGCCGCTAGCCAATACCCGGAAATACCGAATTTTCAGAAAAAATCCAAACCTTTGGTGGGATAACAAACTTACACTTTTAAAAATTGAAAAACCCACTTTATTTAGTTTGGTAAAAAGCTACAGATGGGGGCCCCCTTAAAATAATGAAAACGGAAACACCTATCACAAAGCTAACAGAGGGAAAAAAAAAAATTAGGGGAAAACCCCCCTTTATAATAGACTTTAAATTTTATACACATATACAACAAATTTCTTTAAAAAAATTTCCAAATGAGGCCCTACTATCGAAATACGGTTTCTATGTTCCACAGTTTAGCCCTCCCGGCCCTTTTTCCCTTCTTATTTAACCCCCCAACTCCCCCCTATTTGGGATTTGTGCATGGGGCTCAACAACAATTAAAACCCTCTCAAAACCACAAAATTTCCCAACAAAAGGTTTCAGTTAGAATGAATTTAAAAAATTCCACTAGAGGCAGCAAACTCCACCAAAATTTTAATACCCCCTAAACCTACTTCTTTACCATAAACCCCAATTTCCCTACTTATTACTTTACCATTTTCATACATAGAAAACTTAAAATCTGAAAATTTTAAACCCCCCCCTCAAAATTTTCCCTTTCCAACCTTTAACCCGGGAAAACAGACCATAACACAAGGCAAGATCACTCTTTGTTTTTCCCCGTGTCCC